TGGTAGCATCCCGTGGGAATTTTGCAGCGATGTCTGCATATGTGACTAGAGTCCCGGGATATTTGAACTCAACCAGAGGCCCATGGGTTGCAGATGCATTAGACTCGAGTTCGGTTGTGTCAACCTTTTTAATGATACAAGTTAGCAAGGTCGGATGAATTCGATAGATCACAGATTTCATGTGGTGTCTGATTTTCTGAGTCCTAAGTACCGTTTGTCTATTAGGGCTATGGTCTGTTTTCGCCTGTCATTCCTCCAAAATTGAGGGAGATCTCGACAATTATGGACCTTGTCAACTACGGTTCGAAAAAAGCAAATTTTTCACCATTGCTTTTGTTGAAGCCACTGTGTTTTCCTGATGCATACTCGCTCCCCCGGTTATAATCTTAGCGATCGCTCGAAGTTCAACTTCTGCTAACCGCTCACACTTTTGAACTTGGAGAAGTATGCAGTTGACTAGTGGGATTGGCTAGTACGCAGTACAAAACTAGTGATCGTCTTAGGAGCTGTTTTGGTGTCTCATGTGTTGTTGGGAAAAATTTGCACATTTTATATTGCACCAGATAAAACAGTGTGAACAAGATAAACCAAATTTGACTAAGCGGCAACATTTTGCGGATCCGCATTTACCCTACAACTGGAGCCCTTTTGGTTTCGTATTTACTTGTTTTCTGCTTCTCGGCATAGTGTTACTACCTTGCACAGCAAACTACTTGACGTTACTTGTCCGACTGGCCGGTTTCGCGCCAGTTTGTTTCTTGGGCACACACTGCCCTGTGGAGTGAGAGGAACGACATAAAACCAATCTGTCCGAACTTGAGACGGTTCACACACCCCACGGTCAGATGACTGCCGGTGTGAAATGTAATCCTGTTTGCTGGCCGGAGCGCTGCTCGCGACAGGACGACGCGGTTGACACGGCAAGAGGTTAGATCGATCACCCTCGACCGATAAACTTGGGCATCTGATGCGGTCGGCAAGCTGACAACTCTCCTCCAAAACCGGTAAGACAATTAAATGATAAGGCAATGGAATGATTCCTACGTTTGGCGATCCACTGGATAGAGCTGGTAGTTCCGTGTCGGATGAGTGGAAGTTGTGCGATGTGTGATGAAATGCGTAAGTAAAAGCCCCTACAACGCGATTCACAGGATGCTTGAAAAAGTTTTGCAGTTTTCACGAAAGCTGATATATCTCATTCCAATTTTCCGGTGACGAAAAGAGCGCACAAAATGGAATTGAATGGTATCTGATAATCCAAACTCTGTTAATATTGCACGTAGAAAAAGTACATACGTGCGACTTGTCGGAGCATCGGTTTGTTTCCAATTGTCAGGTCGAAACATCACCACCTACTTGACTATTGCTACTGAGAGCTGTAGTTCGTCGATAACTTGTTATATCATCGGTTAGATGAAAATACTAATTTCGTTAATTCGATCATTTCTACGATTCCAAATGTGAGCATTTTGTCCGAAAACAAGTATTGAATGTGATGAGTTTTGATTTCACATTTCAGATAAGGCTTCACCGACACAACACCTTCGAGTTGGTTCTGATCTCAAGTATGAAAGCCTTTGGTAAGTAAATATATTTGTGACATTTCATTCGGTATGCGTGAGAGACACAATTACTCCATTTCCAAAGTTGCGAGCATGAGACCGTGTGTCCATGCGTCCTTACGATACATGCAACCTTTATGCCGGAATTTGCGAATCCAATTTAGCTGATGAAATGTGCCCAGCCTAAGCACCTCCTGAAGGAGACAAAACAGCTAGCGAATTAATGTATCCAGTCATGAGCTTCACGGATAAATCGGGGAAAGCGCTTTGAGGACTGCTGCAGTCAACTTACATGCCGCTGTACAGACACTTTTACACCGAATATGCTTATGTACGAAAAGAGTGCAGGGCTTTTGTAAAGTGATAAGTTAGTTTGTGCAGTTTCAGTTGAATGCATACCCGCTAAAAGCGAACCCGTATGAACATTTTCCGTGGTATATGCTACTGCTCACTCTGGCAGTTTTGTTACTCCCTGCGTTCCCAATTGATTGAGTCTAGCAGTTTAACATTTAACCTACAGTTTGAGTACACTATTCTATTGATACTGCTGCCTAATCCATGTGCAAGGCCAATGGGTACTCACTACTGTTACACCAGTAGCACTGGCCAGCAGCAGCATGATTCACGCTCAACCAAACGCAAATAATGAATTAAGGTTATGTTTCATCAGATTATTTGCTGGGTTCTTCATCCCAGAGAAATTGAAATCAGTTAAGGAAGCTCAAGTAGCTGCTTGTTAATCTTTATCGTATTGTGTAAAAACATAATCAGTAAAATCCTACCTTAGGAAAAAGGTAAGCATGCTAAATGGGTTATTCCATGGGTTAACAGTTATTGATCACCATTTTGTCCTACGCGATATAAATTATAACAAGTCAACCTTTCCCATTTGCTATAAAATGAATTATTGTACACATTTGGTTTCTTTAGTTCACTGGTACCTTCTTGCTTGTATACTTCACCGCAGGTCAATCATTACGCGCAGTATCACTTTCACAAGCGGCATGCAAATTCAAAGGACAAATGTGTTTCGCGAATGAGTGGGACAAGATTCTCTTCTTGGGGAGCCCAGTGTAGGTCGCAATTCATGTGCAGAGCCATAGCGAGTTTCTTCTCACGTGTCGTTCGTATCGTGCTACATTGTTTTGTTTCGAGTAAGAGAAGCTTATTGGATGATGAATTACAGCTAAGTAATCATCTAGAGATCGCGCGTGATAGTGCGATATGGTATAATGTCCGTTTGACACTGACACACAGACGAGTCTGACTAACAGAGACGTGAAGCCCACAGGCATTTACTAGCAGACAACTTGAGGTGGCAACATATTTTCTCCGTTGTTTACCCACTACTGTAATTAAGAAACTAGGTAACTCTTCTTTTTGCACACAGACAAAATTTCCGTTTCAGTACGCAAAGGAATAAAGAATGTGCGGTAGATATATTTTGGGTGTTATCCTTTTGCAGAAAGAACGAACTCCCTAGAGTAATTACCGTCGCAGTGGCCGAACTAATCAAAGTTCACCTCAGAAGTAACCGCTGCGCAGAGTTCTATTTTGTTGTAATTAATTCACCCAGCAAGTGATTTAAAATACCTCCTACCTAGTATGCTGTGCTTCTCATTAACACGTTTATGATACGAGTTGGGCAAACCAGGTTTGTTTATTTTTATTCTTTGTTCAGTAGGAGCTCCCAATCAAATAAAACAAGGTGGCATATTTGCTCTTATCTACTCCAGATGATCGAATGATTTCAGTAATCGATGGTCTATTGCAAATGAGCTCAAAAATCCATTGAGAATAGCTTGTTTTATTGTCGCATATATATTAAATGCACCAGCACTTACAACCCTAGCAGCGCAGTGCAGAATGTGGAGATGCCGTCTGGGGAGTATTTGCATATCAGCTAAATATGACCTAGAAAGTAAGGTTGATCAGTAATTTGCTCGCTACTCCACTGAAAATGCTGTGCTCATCGTTATGTTCAGCCAAATTTAATCTAGCCTTACTGGATCCTTCTGAGTAGACGAAAACTCGCGGAGGATTCTACTGTATTGAATGCCACAACCGCGTTATGCCATGTAGTGTGTACTGTGTTGTTTAGCAGGCTGACCGTTTGTTCGCCTGAAAATATCCACCGCTGGAATAACCTTTTTTCTATGGTCAAAAACAATGCTTTGAAAGGTCAGTGAGTGCTAACATTTCGATTAAACTTGAGCCAATTCTAAACTTCCTCTTGTCGTCTAGATTGAGGAACACACAACAGATGGTGGACTGTGGCTTATACATTAGCGAATTGAGCATGTTTGATCGGAGAAGAGACATGATCCTTGCTGGCGATCAGCAGTCGGAGGAATTGATCCACTTGTACAAACGGGTATGTTTTGTGTGAAGTCATTTTTCTTGATCGTTTTCGACTTGACTGCAACCTTCCTGAATGACTAATCAGTGTGAGATTTATGTTCAAGGAGTTTCTATTCCAATCAACCTGCTTTAACTGCCTGCTAAGCGGTACCACTGCTAATGCACTGGTAAAGATAGTTTCTCATTACCTACATCGGAAATGAACAATGACTAATGATTTATCACGGGATAAAAGCAAGTGCTTGACACGTCCCGTAGGATGGTTGGGGTGAATATGATAAAATCAAAATATATCTGGGTCATCTACCGAAACTCTGCCTAGATGTATAGTTTGATAAATTACATCAATGTAAAAATAAAAAAACGAGCGTAAACGTTCAGAAAGACACTGGGGTGCACTGATCGTTGATGCAAGGCGTGAGAAAAGGAAAATATGGTCGCTCACTTAGGTCCATTTGATACACAAATCCTACAGAAATGCATGCTTGGCGTAATCCACAATAGAGGAGTTTAGGTACCAAAATGTTGGGAGCTAAGATCAACATCTAATCGTTTTTTGAAAGCGTCCAAGGTAGGAGAGGATACAACTGAGTCTGGGAGTGGGTTCCAGGGTTTGCAAACCCGAAGGGAAATGTAATTCCATCGACACTCTAGACGGCTATATTGTGCCTTCAATTTTAAGCAGTTATCCCTGAGCTGCATGTTGTGGCTGTTTCAGCAAATGGTGGCATACGTGGTTGGGGTCTCTCAGTATCTAATACGCTAATATGAGATTGCCGAACAGCCTTCGATAGCGTCCGCTGATAATTCTCAGCAACTTCGGCCTTCGGTGGTAAGAGTGCTAGCGCAGGCCCTTTATATTCTTTGTTGCTCTTTATTGTGGTGCCTCTAACGCTTCTAGGCTGCGCTTCAACCAAGGTTGCGAAGCTTGGAATGCGTATTCAACATGCGGGCGCACGTAGGAATTGTGCATCATTGGGAAGATTGATGGGTCAAATCTCCCGAATGCCCTTCGCAACATGCCGAGGCGTTAGTTGTCACTATTTGCAGCTACCTCAGCCTGTTTTGAACAGTTGAGATCGCTCTGTACGATCACACCAAGGTCACGTTCCTGGGAGCTATTTTGAAATCCGTTTGTCCCAATCAAATGTTTGTACTTACGTCCATGGCGTAATTGCACAACGCGACATTGACTATGTTGAATAGTAGGGCGTTCTGAACTGATTAGTTCGACACGATGTTAAGATGGCACTGGATCCGTTCGTGGTTCTCCGGTCTTCTGACCCTTCGCCATATCTTGATGTTATCCGCGAAAAATAGGAAATCGGAAGCAATTAATCTTGCCAAATCGTTAATGAACACCAAGAATAGACGAGGTCCAAGAACCGAGCCTTGTGGTACTCCACACGCCACATCGATTGCATCAGACAATGATTCTCGGACTCTCATCACTAGCCGTCGTTCTTGTAGAAAATTGCTAGTCCAGCTCAGGATTGGATCGCGAATACCGTAGTTCCGAAGGTTATAAAGGAGAATTCGATGGTCTAAGCGATCAAACGCTTTTGAATAGTCCAGGTAGCTGACATCGACTCCTACTCCATCATCAGCAACTTCACTCAAGCTATTACGTGCAATTAATAGGTTAGTTTTACACGAACGCTTTTGACTAGAGCCATGTTACTCTGGAACTATTAAATTGTGGCTTTCTAGGTATTGCTTCAGTGCATCTACGATGATTGATTCCATCACTTTGGATAGCACGGGAAGTAGTGTTATTGGACGGTAGTTGACAGCATCAGTGCGGTTACCTCCTTTATGGATAGGACTGATGAACTTTCGCTTCCATACTGATGAAATATGGTTCTCTTCTAGACATCGCTGATAGGAAACAGCCCGTGGTTCTGCTAGATCACTAGCTACCGCCTGCAGAGACTTTGGTCGGATGTTGTCGACTCCAGGAGAACGGTGGATACGCAAGGATAACAACTTCTTCAACACAGCTTCCGCCGTGAAGGTGATGTCTAAACCAAATGGTATAATATTAGAAATGAGGAGAAGGTTTGGGCTCGTTACTTGCTTGGAAGTTTGGGAGTAATGAAGCCGCAGGAGATCAGCTGCTTCCATTGCTGATCACGTGCACCCATCAGCTGTGAGTAGTGCTGGAATCCCCCGTTTCACCATTCGAAGGCCATTGACTTGCCTGTACAGAAGTTTGCAATTCGTGCAGAATCGCTTCATTAACTTCTGTTGATGAGTGACCTCGTCTTCGCGGATCAGTTTCACACAGAAGTTACGATGTGTCACGTATGCAGTCTAGGTTTCTGCATTCGAACTGTCCTTGTGAGATCGCCTTGCCAAATCCGTTAGGGACATACATTTACGTGTTCTGATCCTCAGAAGTGACGTGCATGTTTTGGAATGGAGAGATTTCCGTTACGATGCGTGCGCAAACAGTGTGCTGAATGTGCTTGTAAAGGTTTCCCAGGCAACGTCTGGGAGGCATTCGGTTAAGGAAGTCCAAGATGTATCCTTAACAAGCTGAGATAACACATTGTAGTGCGTGACAGTATGCAATTTATCAACCTCCTTTTCAGGGTACTCCGCATAGCATATATAGTCAGGGAGTAGAGTAACATGATCACTACGACCCAGTGGTGTGCTTGTAACTATCCCGTCAACCATAAGCTCTTCGTTAGTTAGCACAAGATCCTGTACCGACGGCTTGTTAGCAGTTCGAAATCTGGTGGGAGAGGTTACGTGGTTGTACAGTGGGTGGCCCGCAACTAACTATGGCAAGCAGGCTTTAAACTGCGTAACGTCGGTTGCCGGCGTTTCTATGTCGTGCAGTTAAAGTCTCCAGCGATAAGAATGTGGGTGTTGGACTTGTTCAAAGCAAACTGAAAAACGTGGTTCAGTTTAGAATTCATTTCCGAAGTTGAGTTTGGTGGGAGGTAAATCACGGCTAGTAGACATGTGTCCTTATTTCGCAACCATAGGCGGCACCAAAGTGAATCAGGAGCTCGGATTTCCGGGTGATTTATAACTTCACATCGGAGGTTTGTATTATAGTAAAGTATCATACTGCCACCCCTTCCGGCTCTATCCGTCCGAAGCAGCGACATACCGGGTAAATTGATCTCAATATCGTTTATCTCAGGGTTTAACCATGTCTCTGTAACCATGACGAGGTACCGCGATTGTGAGGCATGGAATACTCTAAGTTCCGCCAAATTGCTTAGAAGGTCTTGGTCGTTTGTGTACATGCAAGATGGGGCTGTTGTTGTTATGAGTGCTTTGATGGATGTCAACTTTGTGTTAGTTTATATGCCTGCCGTTAGGTGGCCGGTCATTAATCATTTTTTGGTTTATGTATCGCAGTCAAGTTGCTTCACATTAATGAGCGTTCCTGAAGAGACGTTTCACTTGTGCTGTGCTCTCTCATGTTGTGTGCCGTAGGCGCCGTTGTGTCGGCCTCTCCGCAGAACTGTGCAAATAAAGAATTTGCAGCGTTTGCAAGTTCCATCGAATTGCTTGCGCTTTTTGGCCGTTTGCTTGCTGCCTTTAGCAAGATCTCTGTTGGCAACCTAGCTCGAAACTTTAACCAGTTATCCAGCAGAACTTGCGTCATTCCCTCAGAGTGTAATATTACTTTCAGTAGTCTCTGACCGCAGCCATTGTAATTAGGTGATGACTGAACCCTTGGCAGGGATTTAGCAATAACGTCGTAAACAGAGAGTGCTTCGCGGATGTAGCACCACTGCTCTCGGTCATATGTTTGCGCATCATAAGCAGAAGGCTGCAGAATCTCGGGAACACCATGAACAAATACTGTTTGCTTGCTATCCCTAGTAGGAATGCCGCTTTGGTTAACTGCTATTTTGGACGATCTTTCCAAGGTAGATCAGGTAATATGCGCACTGCGCTCGGTGAGTTGCGAAAACGAACTGCTGAGAGCAGGACAACCTCTGTCTCATCTGCTGAGTCTAGTTTTACTCGAAGAATTCGAATTTCACCAGAGTGTACTGAGGTCGGCTGACGCGCTACGCGTTGCAGCATTGCAAACTCAACCCGAATAGCAATCGCATCGCAGGTGGAACTACACTGGTTACGACCGTATTGCAACTGGTGGTTTATTGTGCCAGGTGTGGATTCGGGAACATTGGTGCACACGAGAGTTAACGCTGCGTGGTTTTGTCTAGCGAGTGTTGGTTTTATACCTTTTGCCGGCAATTCGGGTTGCTTAGAGAGCACCACTGGCGTTGACGGTGAAAGCTGCGTTGCGCCACTCGTGCTCGGTGCAGAAGATGGGCCTTTTAGAGGTGTGTCTCGTTTTACAGAGAATATACTATTTATTTATTTATGTGTGTCGCTCCCGGTGTGTTTGATGAGGCAATCGTTGCGTACGTTACCTGCTTGTCATCTGCACCGGATTGCCTCTGGCTCTGCGCTATCGGTGTCATGTATGAATCTCCAAATGAAGCGTCTATGGTTGGAGAAGTGGAAGCAGACATGTTTGAGGCTTGTCCACTTATGGGAGTGAGGTGACCCAGTGGATTTAGCGTCATAGACGCTGCGGTGAGTTTGGAGCGTCTAGCTCTCTTCTTGGGCTTAGAATCGGAGCTTACTTTGGCTGGGTGAGGTATTATCGTGGCCATATTTACCTCCTTGGCAGCGATCTTAGTATTTACAAAAAACGCGATTATCTCAGTCATCCTATCGCACATTTTCAAGAGCAAAGATAAACGGTTGACAACTGGAATGACTTGACATGTTAGGCAAAACCAATTGTGTCAGCAAGTTTGTTTGTCTGTCTCACTTCTTGGAAGGATTTGCTTGCACATTGCGGACAGTGCGATATAATGCAGCCATAACGGTTTACCCCGATGTTAAGGACTTTACTGCAATTGTCTGTGCAACATAGGCGACGTTGAACCATTAGAATGCTAGTTGTCCTCTTATCGTTTGCAGCCAGGCCTATCTGAGCGCTCACCTAGATGAGGGTTCTTTGCTCCA